ACAAAGAGAGGGAGAGAGAGGGAGAGGAGAGAAAGAGAGAAAGGGGGAGAGGGAGGGGGAGAAAGAGTGGGAGGGAGAGGGGGAGAGGGAGGGAGGGAAGGGAGAGAGAAAGGGAGGGAGGGAGAGGGAGGGAGAAAGAGAGGGAGGGAGAGGGAGAGACAAAGGGAGGGAGAGAGAGGGAGAGGAGAGAGGGAGAAAGGAAGGGAGAGGGAGAGAGAGGGGGGGAGAAAGAGACTGGGAGGGAGGGGGAGAGAGACAAAGGGAGGGAGAGAGAGGGAGAGAGGGAGAGAAGGAGAGGGAGAGAGAAAGGGGGAGAGAGGAGGAGAGAGAAGGAGAGAAGGAGAGAGAGGGAGAGAGAAAGGGAGGGAGAGGGAGAGATAGGGAGGGAGGGGAGAGAAGGAGAGAGGGAGAGAGAGAGAGGAGAGAGGGAAAGGGAGGGAAAGAAAGAGAGGGAGAAGGAGAGAGAGGGGGAAAAGGAGAGAGGGAGAGAGGGAGAGAGAGAGAGAGAGAGAGAGAGAGAGAAGCAGAGAGAGGGAAGGAGAGAGGCTTCTTCATTCACTTCTTAGAAGTCACGACTTTGATTTCAGGAAGTTGTCAGCCCTCAAGGCTGCCAAGCTGAGCTTTTTTGTGCGTCAGGAACATCTGCCAAACACCTCCGAAAACACAGGAGGCTAAATTGCTCATGCTAGAGAGCATCAGCCCAGGTGCGCAGGATCCACCCGGGGACCTCCGCCGCCCAATAAGCCGAGCGCGCCCGGCCCGTCTCCATATACCAAGCGTGTCAAACTCAAATTTCATTGAGGCCTGCATCAGCACTGTGGTTGCCCGGGGGGGGGGGCAGGTGGGTGTGGCCAGAGTGGGTACATCATTCGCGTCAAGGGTGCCTGTGGGGGCCTGGGCAGGAGTGGGACAGATCTGAGGGTCTCTGGCAGAAGGGGGTGGGACCGGGGCAAGTGCCAAGGCATGGTCCACCGGGGCAAGTGCCAAGATGGCCACCACAAAATCGTACATTGGCTCCCTCCCGGCCGGCCTGGGCCAGGGCCATGGCAGTGGGGGCCGTTCCCTCACGGTTTCCAGGATGGCTTCGCAGGCCACATGAAACCACGTCGCGGGCCGCATCCAGCCGCCAGGCCTTGTGTTTGACATGTCTGCCATATAGTGTCGGTTCCGCTCCTGGGTGGATGTATGTTCAGTTTGTCTGTTTCTTTGTTGAACAGTTTGGGAAGAAACTTCCCCACGCGCACCCCGAGCATCTTTTACACAGCAGAGATCGCTCACAAGCAACGGGAAAGAACGAGGTATAATATCACTATCAAATACTTGCTCGCCACTTCGCCATCCTTTATTAAAACATCGGCAGCTACGCCATTTCCTTCCCTGGGAAACCCGTCGGAATACAGGGGGTCCTCAACGTACGACTGCACAATTGAGCCCAAACTTCCCATTGCTAAGCGAGACGGATGTTAAATGAGTTTTACCCCATTTCACGACCTTTCTCGCCACCGTCGTTAAGGGAATCGCCGCAGCGCTCAAGTTAGTCACGCGGTCGTTAAGCGAATCCGGCTTCCCCTTTTGACTTTGCTCGGCAGAAAGTCGCAAAAGGGAAGAGGATCCCGTGATCCCGTCTTGTGGCGCTCGGGACTCGAACCTGGGCTGTCAAGCTCTCCAGCGGACGAGCGCAGCGTCTCGAACCGCTGAGCCATCTGGATTAAGAACTAACCTTCTCCAGAGTAAAAAGGACGGAGTCAGCTCGCTGATTTTAGGAACTGGCAATTTGCTGGATTTAGGGACTGACATTCGTGCTGTGTTGGTTTTTGGGTTTTTTTCCAAAATGGGGTCACTGCCGGCCTGTCTTTTGGGGTTATAAACCAGCAGCAGCAACAATCTGGCTTCGTTTTTTTTCCCCCCGCCTCTCCAGTTAATGACTGCGCGTTAAGCTATTTTAAGAGGCTTTTCTGCCTGAAAAGCGAACTTGCTGGGCCTTCAGGACTGGGATTCTTAACGAGGTATCGCTATACGAGCCCCTCTTCTCCCCCCAGACGTCGCTATCAATTTAATCAGTGAAGGAAAGCATGCATTCTTCCTTAATTAAATTATGCACTGGCAGACAATAGCTGGCCCGTCCTTTTCAGAGCGAGCAAAGGCCTCTCAGAGACAGGCAAACAATGGTTAGGCACCCGAAAGACGGGTTGACAAGCCGCCAGCTTCCGTCCCTGTGGAACGCTGCGTTCCCTCGGAGCCTCTCCGCCAGCGGAGCGGGAACCAAGGGCATGTCAATAAGCAATAACGCGGGCAGAAAATTAGAGGCATTTCTACCATCCAGCTAATTTGATCCAGAATTTCTTGGCCCGGCGTATTGAAATGATTGAGTAGGGGAACATGGGCGTTCTTGATGACCGCTGCCTGTGAAGGGCATCACCGCGGCTAAGGTGGCCGACGCACAATTGCTCGGCGCTGGTCTGCAATTAAGAGGGGAGGAAGGACAGGGGGGGGGACTTACGCTGGCAGGTCCCGCCGTTCGTGGGGTCTCCATAGTATCCGGAGATGCACGTCTCGCAGTGCCTGCCGGTCGTCAGGTTTTCACACCGCTCGCAGATGCTCTCGTTGATACATTTGCTGTGCCCGTTACACTGGCAGGCTGCGGGCGAAAAGAGGTTTTGTGTCGGTCTCTCTCTCTCTCTCGTGTCGACTTCTGGAGGCTGCCTCAGTGCTCGGCTTTCTTGACAAGCCAGAAGGGGGCCTGACAAGGAGAGCTGGTCCTGATAATCGGGGATCTGACTGCCCTGGCTCTGATTTCTAGACACCAGCTAAGATGAAAGGGTTGACCTAGAGCAGTGGTGTCCAGCCTTGGCAACTTTTAAGACTTGTGGACTTCAACTCCCAGAATGCTGCAGTCAGCCACGTTTTAAAGATGCCAAGGCTGAAGACTTCTGGACTTCAACTTTAAGAGTTGTGGACGTGCTGGCTGAGGAATTCTGTGAGTTGAGGTCTACACATCTTACAATTGCCAAGGGATCTCCCACCTTCGCAACCTTAAGTCTTGTGGACTTCAACCTTAAAACGTGTGGCTTCAACCTTAAGACTTGTGGACTTCAACCTTAAGACTTGTGGGCTTCAACCTTAAGACTTGTGGACTTCAAACTTAAGACTTGTGGACTTCACCCTTAAGACTTGTGGGCTTCAACCTTAAAACTTGTGGATTTCAGCCTTAAAACTTGTGGACTTCCACCTTAACACTTGTGGACTTCAACTTTAAGACTTGTGGACTTCCACCTTAACACTTGTGGACTTCCACCTTAACACTTGTGGACTTCAACTTTAAGACTTGTGGACTTCCACCTTAACACTTGTGGACTTCCACCTTAAGACTTGTGGACTTCAACCTTAAAACATGTGGACTTCCACCTTAAGACTTGTGGACTTCAACCATAAGACTTGTGGACTTCACCCTTGTGGGCTTCAACCTTAAAACTTGTGGATTTCAACCTTAAAACTTGTGGACTTCAGCCTTAACACTTGTGGACTTCCACCTTAACACTTGTGGACTTCCACCTTAAAACATGTGGACTTCAACCTTAACACTTGTGGACCAACCTTAAAACTTGTGGGCTTCAACCTTAAAACTTGTGGACATGCTGGCTGAGGAATTCTGGGAATTGAGGTCTACAAATCTTAAAGTTGCCAAGGTGTCAAGTCCCCAAAACCTCTGTATTTTCTACTTTGGGGGCCTGCCATTCTGCTGGGGGGGGAGGGGGAGCTTGGGATAACTTTCGCTTTCTACTTTCCCTCTCCTGCCTCCATCCCTCTGAGCAAGGAAGGTGTCTCCCTTATCAGGGCCACGGTTGCGGAGAAACAAAAGCTGTAGACCACCTTGAGATGCGTGCCAACTGCACCAGTTACCCGCACATCGTTGCCACTTGTGGATTGGCTAGATTTCAAATGGACATTATGACTCTGAGTGGAAGGAGGAATAAATATTGCTAGTTTAACTATACCTTTGAAGCGGGATTTTCCGCAGACCTTGCCTTGACTTCCTTACTGTCACTGACCCCTAATAAAAGTGTCCTTTTGAGACCATGAACTGAATCAGGCCTGGATCCCAGCCTTACAGGTGGGCCGCTTGGAACCGGCCCTTTTCCATACCTGGACACTGGATGAAGGACCAGTTATATTTGGTCTCCGTCAGGCACAGGCTGGCGTCCAGGACCGGGTCTGGATAGGCTTTTCCTGCCGAGGGCGCCGAGGCCACCGGCATCTTCATCGGAGCCCTGGAAGAGCCTTCCATGCATCGGCCCTTGCCGGTGTTACTGGGATCCGTGCACCAGCCGCAGCCCGGTTGCTCCAGGCAGTGGCTGCAGGTGAAGTAGCCGGAGCAGTTTTCGGCTGCGGGGGGGAAAAGCAAAGATTGTGCATTCAGATGGAAGTCCCAAAGCTACTTTCTTTTCAGGAGGCAACTGGACTTTCTTGTTTTTTTGCTTTGAAGATGTTTCGCTTCTCATCCCAGAAGCTTCTTCCGCTCTGACTGGATGGGGAGGAACGGAAGGATTTATACTCCTTGTAGATAGCCGGTCATTTGCATCCTTTTAGTCCTGGAGGCCACCTGGAGGTTTATCTGTGTGGATTCTGGACCGAGAGGACCGCCGGGTTTGAAAGAGGGGACAAAGAGGCCATCTGTGTCGAAATTGAACAGCCCCTCCCTCAACGGAGGGGGAGGGACACGACACCACCCATCTCCCGTCGACAACACGGTCCTTTCCGCAGTTCCAAGAAGGCTCCACACCCATTTGCACCACTCAGGTAAACCTCCAAGTGGCCTCAACGACGCAAAGGACCAGCCGTCTGCAAGGAGTATAAATCCTTCCATCCTGAATTATTGAAAAAGAATAGATTTAAATCAGAGAAACTTGGGGTACCTGAATAGTAACTATATAGGTTAGTTTAAATTTTAATATTTGAAAAATTAATAAAGTGTAAAACAGGATTTTGGGGATAGATAATGAGCTCTTCTAAAGCTTTATTGATTAATGAAATTCATATGTAGCAATACAAATGAAAATTTGTCCTAGAAATGTAGTAATGAGATTATAATATATCTTAAATAAATGGAGAGTTTCAGTTTCAGTTTAAATATGTGAGAAATTATAGATTTGTATAGAATAGACACTGAGCGGTTGAAAGTTTTGATTGATTAAGAGAATTTATATTTAGATATATTAATGAATGATTTTATTTGAATCAATTTGATTATAATATTATAGATAGATAGAGAGGGAAATTTTAAGAAATATTGTGTGAACTGTATATTTATAATGCTATTGTTTTCTTTTTTTATTTGATCACCATATCTCCACGTTGGTTCTTCAGCTTCTGTTGGTGCAAAATGGAAAACTAATAAAAATTGTTTAAAAAAATAAATAAATCCTTCCATCCTCCACCATTCAGTCAGAACTGAAGAAGCTTCTGGGATGAGAAGCAAAACGTCTTCAAAGGAAAAGAAGGAAGTCCAGTTGCCTCCTGAAAAAGCACCTTTGGGATAACCCTGACCTGGATTGACTGGGAATCTCCCTAGACACCAATGATGGAAGGCTTCAGACATGTCCCAGGCACCAGGATAAGAACAGAACTGTCTTTCACTGTCTTCACCATCCTTTCTTCCCGTTCTGATCTTGTCCCCACCAATTCCAGCTTCTTCGTTTGCAGAAGCCAGGGTTTGCTGTTAAACCCCTATCGGCAAGCCATGGCTTCTACGCAGCCCTTCAAACCGCAACTGGAAGAAGCCTTTGCGGACCTTTGCGGTGGCTGTTTTTTTAATTCCTCTGGCTGAAAGCCTCGGGAAACGTCTCCACGCCAACACTGTGGCTTCATCGTTTGACCTGGCTTATGTACAGGTGGTCCTCGGCATACGACAGTTCATTTAGTGACCGTTCAAACTTACAACGTCCCTCAAAAAAAAGGGACTTAGGACTGTTTTGCACACTTGCGACCGTTGCAGCATCCCCAGGGTCACGTGATCAAAATCTGGACGCTTGGGAACTGACTCATATTTATGACGGTCGCAGTGTCCCAGGGTTTCTTTCCTTCTCCTCCTCCTCCTCCTCCTCCCCTCCCCTCATCCTCCTCCTCCTCTTCCTCAAACTCTGCTCCTTTGTAGCACTGATGATGTTACCTAGTTGGGTCATGAAACGTCTGCAAGAAAACCCACCCAGCTCAGAGAGCACCAGGGACCCCACAGTCCTCCTCCTCCTCCTCCTCTTCCTCCTCCTCCTCCTCCACCACCACCACTACTATCACCACCTCCTCCTACTACTCGCCCTCCTTCTCCTCCTCCACTCCCTTCTAGCACTGATGTTGTTACCTAGTTGGGTCATGAAACGTCTGCAAGGAAACCCACCCAGCTCAGAGAGCACCAAAGACCCCACAGTTCTCCTCCTCCTCCTCCTCCTCCTCCTCCTCCTCCTCGCCCTCCTCCTCCTCCTCCGCTCCCTTCTAGCACTGATGGTGTTACCTAGCTGGGTCACAAAACATCTGCAAGAAAACCCACCCAGCCTAGAGACCACCCAGGCGTCCTCCCACGTGCCCTTCCCGAATGCCCCCCACCCGCCCTCCCGGGATGCTCCAGCCAGGAAGAGACGGTCTCACGTGGGCAGCTGCTGACGGTGTGCCATTCCAGGCACTGGCCGTAAGGGAAGGAGGCCACGTAGGCGTTGGAGTCCACGCACTGCTTCTTGTTGCTGCACCACATGCACTCGGAGTTGCTGCTGGTGCATTCGCTGCACGCCACCCTCAGGCCGCAGGGGGTGCGGCACTGCTTGGCGCTGTGGTTGGCTGCAGAGGGGGGGGGAGGAAAAAAAAAGGACACCGGATGCGGCACGGAGCGAATGTGAGCGCCTTCTCCCAAACATCTGCAGCGGTCAGGCGCAAAGAAGATAAGAGACATAGAGCACCCGATGGTTTCCCGCTGGTTTCGCTTTTTTACTTTAGTTAATTCATTCATTCATTCATTAATTGTTTTAAGGGTCTCTCCTCTCCCACTCTGCCTAAGTGTCATTCTACAGCCTCCACAAGGCTCGATCCAGGTGCGCACTGGGCCCGGTGGATGAAGCTCGTCGACGCTTTACCTGGCCGCTCGCAGACGCTGCCGTTGACCAGGTTGATGCAGGTGGCGGCCTTCAGGCCCTGGCTGCTGGCCTCCGCTAAGTAGCTGCAGAAGCCGATGTCGCTGGGCTCCCCCGGAAGCCACCGGAGCAGGGTGTTGGTGAAGGGGGACATGTCTTCCCAGCACCAGTAGGAGATGTTGATCTTTCGCAATCCGACCCAGGGTGTCAAGGCTTTGGGCTGGGGGGGAGGAGAGGGAGAGAGAGGTAGAGAGAAGGAGGGAGGGAGGGAGGGAGGGAGGGAGGGAGGGAGAGAGAGAGAGAGAGAGAGAGAGAGAGAGAGAGAAATACAAGGAGAAGGAGGAGAAGGAGAAGGAAAAATAGAACAAGGAGAAAGGGAAAGAGAAATAGAAGGAGGAGAAAGAGGAGAAGGAAAAACAGAAGAAGGAGAAATGGAAAGAGAAATGGAAGAAGGAGAAGGAGAAAGGAGGAGGAGGAGAAAGGAGAAAGAGAAAGAAAAAAGAGAAAGAAAGAAATACGAGGGGAAGGAGGAGGAGGAGAAGGAAAAATAGAAGAAGGAGAAAGGGAAAGAGAAATAGAAGGAGGAGAAAGAGGAGAAGAAGGAAAAACAGAAGGAGAAAGGGAAAGAGAAATGGAAGAAGGAGAAGGAAGAGGAGGAGAAAGGAGGAGGAGAAAGAAAGCAATACGAGGAGAAGGAGGAGAAGGAAAAATAGAAGAAGGAGAAAGGGAAAGAGAAATGGAAGAAGGAGAAAGGAGGAGGAGGAGGAGGAGAAAGGAGAAAGAGAAAGAAAAAAGAGAAAGAGAAAGAAATACGAGAAGGAGGAGAAGGAGAAGGAAAAACAGAAGAAGGAGAAAGGGAAAGAGAAAGAGGAGGAGGAGGAGAAAGAGGAGAAGGAGAAGGAAAAATAGAAGAAGAAGGAGAAAGGGAAAGAGAAATAGAAGGAGAAGGAGAAAGGAGGAGGAGAAAGGAGAAAGGAGAAAGAGAAAGAAATGCGAGGAAAAGGAGAAGAAGAAGGAGAAGGAAAAACAGAAGAAGGAGAAAGGGAAAGAGAAATAGGAGAAGGAGAAAGGAGAAGAAGGAGAAAGAGGAGAAGGAGAAGGAAAAACAGAAGAAAGAGAAATAGAAGGAGAAGGAAAAAGGAGGAGGAGCAGGAGGAGGAGAAAGAGAAGGAAAAATAGAAGGAGAAAGGGAAAGAGAAATAGAAGGAGAAGGAGAAAGAGAAGGAGAAAGAGAGGGAGGGAGAGAGAGAATCAATTGTCTGAACCATCACTGCAGTTGTCGTCCAGGGAGAGTCTCAGCCATCCAGGTCATGGTTATCCCAAAGATGCTTTGTCAGGAGGCAACTGGACTTCCTTGTTCTTTGAAGACGTTTCCCTCCTCATCCCAGAAGCTTCTTCCGCTCTGACCGAACGGCGGGCAACGGAAGGATTGATATTCTTTTGCAGTCACCTGGTCGTTAGCCTTCCATAAAGAAGTCGGGGCAATTCTTCCGCCAGAACGGAAGAAGCTTCTCGGATAATGAGGAGCGAAACCTCTTCGAGGGAAAACCAAAAAAAAAATAGTCCAGTGGCCTCATGGGGGAAAAAAAAGCACCTTGCAGACGTTTCACGGCCCAACTGGGTAACTTCATCAGTGTTGGGAGGGAGAACCACGACCTGGCGGACCTCCGTAGACATCTGCACGCAAACAAACCAAGCTCAAAGACAGCGTGAAGGAGCCCACACAGTGACACGGGTTCAAGTCTGGACGCAGAGATATGTTGCATTTCCAGTGGGCCCCACCCACCCAATGGGCATCCACGGCTGCCCCCTCCCCAGCGGAAACCTGAAAGGGGGGAACGAGTCACTCACTGTGGACTGGGTCTTCTGCAGCTCCTTCAGGAGAAACTCCACCTTCTTCGGCGTGGTGAGGGAGGCCAGAGCGGCGTTGTGACTCCGGCAGGCCAGCTTGGCGTTGTCGTAGCTGTCTTTTGTGTTGGTGATCCTCAGGCAGGAGTTCCCCACCAGGTGCCACGTGGCCCCACAGATGTTTTCTGCAAAAAAAAAAATCATATATATAAAACAGGGGTCTTCAAACTTGGCAATTTTAAGACTTGTGGACTTCAACTCCCAGAATTCCTCAGCCAGCCCTGGGAATTCTGGGAGTTGAAGTCCACAAGCCTTAAAGTTGCCAAGCGGCATGGCTGGCTGAGGGATTCTGGGAGTTCAAGTCCACAACCCTTAAAGTTAAAATAATCAGCCACAAAAAAAAATCCTTTTGTGGTTTTGTTGGCTGTGATCTTCCCTGGGTGAGTTGGGAAAGGAAAGAGACAATGCGGAAAAACACAAACGCAGTGCTTTGACGGCATGGCTGGCTGGGGGATTCTGGGAGTTGAAGTCCACCCGTCTTAAATTGGTCCGACTTTTTGTTACCGTACTGACATCCTCGACTTACGGCCACAGGGGAGTACAACATTTCTGTCGCTAAGCAAGGCAGTGGTTAAGTGAGTTTGTGCCCCCATTTTACGACCTTCTTTGCCACAGCGGCTAAGTGAATCCCTGCAAGTTGTTGAGTTAATAACACAAAATGGCTTCTCCCGTTGACTTTGCTTGTCAGGAGGTCGCAAAAGGGGGACCACGTGACCCCGGGACACTGCAAACCGTCATAAATGCGAGTCGTTAAGTATGAAAAACCATCCTAGAGTCACTTTTTTCAGTATTGTTGTAAACTTTGAACAGTCACTAAGCCAGGGGTAGGCAACCTTGGCCCCTTCATGACTCGTGGACTTCAACTCCCAGAATTCCTGAGCCAGCATGGCTCAGCTTGGAAACCTGTCCCTTTCCCCTCAGCATGGCTGGCTCAGGAATTCTGGGAGTTGAAGTCCACGAGTCATAAAAGAGCCAAGGTGGCCTACCTCTGGCCTAGGCCGCTTTATGACTTATGGACTTCAACTCCCAGAATTCCTCAGCCAGCATGGCTCAGCATGGAAACCTCTCCCTTTCTCCTCAGCTTGGCTGGCTCAGGAATTCTGGGAGTTGAAGTCTACGAGTCATAAAACAGCCAAGGTTGCCTACCTCTGGCCTAGGCCTAGGCTGCTTTATGACTCGTGGACTTCAACTCCCAGAATTCCTGAGCCAACATGGCTCAGCTTGGAAACCTCTCCCTTTCCCCTCAGCATGGCTGGCTCAGGAATTCTGGGAGTTGAAGTCCACCAGTCATAAAAGAGCCAAGGTTGCCTACCCCTGCACTAAGCAAATCCTCGTTAAGTCGAGGACCAATTGTATTATCTTTGTTTTCTGTTTTTTCTTAATATATTTTATTAATTTTTTAACATAATCATCATTAATATTTGGTAAACAGCGTGTTGTCTGGATTTCTATTCACAAACAATCAAAACAATTAATTTTTATAATTCCATACTCCACATAATAAGCTTCCCTTGATTTTCTCTTCTTCCAATACTATTCTCTTTTACCAACCTTAAATTAGCCCATTTCTTAGTCATTTTAGTAGGTAACAATTGAATATAGACATTTTTCCAGTGTTTCTACAAGTAACAACCCCATCAATACAAATCTTTTCTAGTTAATCATCTTAATCATCTTGTCACAGATCCTGTTTTTAAAGGTCTCCGTTTAAATTTGTTTTCCCCGAAATGTTAAAAAAAAAACATTTTTCCCTGTTAAGATTTTCTTAAGAGTTAATTACACTTAAGCATTTACGGCTTTTTCCTCATACAAGCCATCCCAACACCTTTTACATTTCTCATTATCTTAAAACAGAAACAAAACAAAAATTTAAAAAACTGTTCGTTGTTTCTTTTATTGCTGTATTATTTAACTTCTGTTTGGTTCACACTCGCATTTCTAAAATCGGTTTATTGTTGTAAGCAGCCTAAAGGAGAAACACGGGCGAGATAGGAGGCAAATAAATTTAATGACNCATCCCAACACCTTTTACATTTCTCATTATCTTAAAACAGAAACAAAACAAAAATTTAAAAAACTGTTCGTTGTTTCTTTTATTGCTGTATTATTTAACTTCTGTTTGGTTCACACTCGCATTTCTAAAATCGGTTTATTGTTGTAAGCAGCCTAAAGGAGAAACACGGGCGAGATAGGAGGCAAATAAATTTAATGACAAATAAATAAATGAATAAATGAATGAATGAATGAATGAATGAATAAACGTGATGATGACAAATAAATAAACAAAAACCAAGCAAGCTAAATCGAAACGTTTGTTCACGTCACACAAAAACAACAAGAGAGGACGGATTGTGAGGAAGGAAGAAAGACGCAACCTTGTTATGTGGGGTTGTAAAAAAAGATTCTCAGGGAGATGGGTGAGAATTCAGACAGCTCTGCCCCTCAGGAGGGAAATTTGACCAGGACCCCTTCAGGTCCTCGACTTATAATGATTCATTTAGTGACGGTTCGAAATTACAACAACACTTGAGGGGGGAAAAAAGGGACTTAGGACCGTTTTTCACACTTAACGGCCGTCGCAGCATCCCGGCAGTCAAAGGATCAAAATTCAGCGGCTTGGCAACTGACTCGCATTTATGACAGTCGCAGCGTCCCGGGGTCGTGTGATGACAAGCAAAGGGGGATCCGGATTCGCTTAACGACCGTTAACTTCCTAACTTATCAACCGCAGGGATTCGCTTCACAAGTACAGCGAGAAAGGTCGTCAAATGGGGCGACGCTGACTTAATCTGTGTCTTGCTTAGCGACGGGGATTTTGAGCTCAGTGGGGCCCGTAAGCCGAGGACTCCTGGTGAGCACCCCGTCCAGTTCTTTCCTGGAGGGGGCCGGAACCCAAGTTGTTGTTCCTTTTTTCTCTCCTTGGGGGGGGTTTAGGGGGGGGCAGGTGAGGGAGGGGAAGGCCTACCGGGCAGAGCGATGCACTCCTGGTTCCGGGCTTCCCACTGGCAGTTCTGGTCCAGGCTGCAGCTCTTGCAACTGCTCTTCTTGTTGCAGTAGAAGGCCGGGTGGTCCTTGGGGCAGCTTTCGAAGGCGGCAATGGGGGTCTAGGAGAAAGAAAGAAAGAAAGAAAGAAAGAAAGAAAGAAAGGAAGGAAGGAAGGAAGGAAGGAAGGAAGGAAGGGAAAGGAAAGGAAAGGAAAGGGAGAAGAAGGGAGGAAGGAAGGAAGGAAGGAAGGAAGGAAGGAAGGAAGGAAGGAAGGAAGGAAGGAAGGAAGGAAGGAAAAGAGAGCAAAAAATAAGCTTTCTTTCAGTCAAGCGGGATTGATTCGGTCTGCATTCTTCCTTCCTGTCCTTCTCCCTTCCTCCCTCCCTCTTTTCCTTCCTTCCTCTCCCTTCCTTCTCCCTTCTTTCCTTCCTCCTTTTCTTCCTTTCCTTTCTTCCTTTCCTACCTTCCTTTCCTCCCTCTCCTTCCTTCTTTCCCTCCCTTTTTCTTCTTCCCTCCTTCTCTCCCTCCCATCCTTCCCTCCTTCCCTCTCCTTCCTTCCTCCCTCCCTCTTTTCCTTCCTCCCTCCCTTCCTTCCCCTCCCTCCCTCCATCTTTTCTTCCTTCCTTCTTTCCTTTCTCCCTCCCTCCCTCTCCTCCCTTTTTATCTTCCTTCCTTCCTCCCTTTTTCTTCCTTCCTCCCTCCCTTTTTCCTTCCTCCCTCCCTCTTCCTTCTTTTTCCTTCCTTCCTTCCTCTCGTTTCTTCCTTCCTCCCTCCCTTTTCCTTCCTTCTTCCCTCCCTCCCTCCCTCCCTTTTCCTTCCTTCCTTCCCTCCCTCCTTCCCGCCATCCATCTTTTCTTCCTTCCTTCCTTCTTTCCTTCCTCCGTCTCCTTCTATCTTCCTTCCTTCCTCCCTTTTTCTTCCTTCCTCCCTCCCTCTCCTACCTTCCTTTTTTCCTTCTTTCCTTCCTCCCTTTTCCTTCCTTCCTTCCTCCCTCCCTTCCCTCCCTAACTCTTTTCCTTCCTTCCCTCCCTCCATCTTTCCTTCCTTCCTTCCTTCTTTCCTTCCTCCCTCCCTCTCCCTTTTTATCTTTCTTCATCCCTTTTCCTTCATCTCTCCCTCCCGCTTTTCCTTCCTCCCTCTCCTTCCTTCCTTCCTCCTTTTCTTCCTTCCTCCCTCCCTCCCTCCTTCCTTCCTTCCTTCCTTCCCTCCCTCCCTCCCTCCCAATCAGCGTCTCCCCAACCCAGGCCCCGGCGTCAAGGGCCAGGGAGCCTTCCCTTGCAGAGGGGCAGCCAAGAGTGGCCGAAGGCTCACCTGGTCTTCCGAGCAGTTGCTGTTCTTGGACAGGCACTGGTCCGTGCACCAGTGGCACCAGTTGGTGTTGGCTGTGCAGCTGTAGCAGTCGGTGATCTGGTCGCACTTTTCGTGCTCCACAGCTGGGGAGAGAGGAGAGCCGTCACCATCCCACCCTCCGAGTGACAAAAGGTTTATTTCCTCTGCCCCAAGGATGCAGATGCAGCAGATGTGCTGCTCAGGGCAAGTGGACTTATCAGGAAAACTTCCTGGCCACAAGATCGCTCCAAAAGCGGATCCGTCTCCTTAGGAAGACGGTGGGTTCTCTATCTCTGGAGGCTTTGGATAACAGAATGACAGAGCTGGAAGGGGCTTTAGAGGTCTTCTAGTCCAGCCCCCTGCTGAGGCAGGAAACTCTACACCGTTCGAGACAAACAGCTGTCCAGTCTCTTCTTAAAAACCTCCAGTGTTGGAGCATTCACGACTTCTGGTGGCAGGCTGTTCCGCTGGTTAATTCTCCTCACTGCTAGGAAGTTTCTCCTTAGTTCTAGGTTGCTTCTCTCCTTGATGAGTTTCCATCCGTTGCTTTTTGTCCTGCCTTCTTCAGGGACTTTGGAAAATAAATTGACCCCCTCCTCTTCTTTGGGGCAGCCCCTCAAATATTGAAGTCCTTCTGAACTTTTACAGAAGACAGAATAACAGTGTTTGAAGGGACCTTGGAGGTCATCTAGTCCAACCCCCTGCTCAGGCAGGAAACCCTATACCATTTCAGACCAATGGCTGTCCAGGCTCTTCTTAAAAACTTCCAGTGTTGGAGCATTCGCAGCTTCTGGTGGCAGGTTGTTCCACTGGTTAATTGTTCTAACTGTCAGGAAGTTTCTTCTTAGTTCTAGGTTGCTTCTCTCCTTGACTAATTTCCATCTGTTGCTTCTCGTCCTGCCTTCAGGGGCTTTGGAGAATAGCTTGACTCCCTCTTCTTTGGGGCAGCCCCTGAGATACTGGAAGGCTGCTATCCTGTCCCCCCTCATCCTTCTCTTTGTTAGGCTAGGCCAGAGGTAGGCAACCTTGGCTCTTTTATGACTCGTGGACTTCAACTCCCAGAATTCCTCAGCCAGCATGGCTCAGCTTCGAAACCTCTCCCTTTCCCCTCAGCATGGCTGGCTCAGGAATTCTGGGAGTTGAAGTCCACCAGTCATAAAAGAGCCGAGGTTGCCTACCCCTGCACTAGACATACCATAATGGAGTCCAAAACCTACATTGCTAAGCCAGACAGTTATTACGTGAATTTTGCCCCATTTTACGTGATCCCCGGGGACACTGCGACTGTCGTAATTATGAACCAGTGGCCAAGTGTCTGAATTTTGATCACGTGACCGTGGGGAGCCTGCGACAGTCGTTAAGTGTGAAACCCGGTCATAAAACAGACACTATTTTTTAATGGTCACTAACCGAATAGTCGTAAACTGAGGACCACCTGCATATCCACTATCCAGCTGACAAAGAACATTTCGTGGCAGTGGACGAAATGAAAGGGCATCCGACTTTCAAGGTCAAAAAAATAAAATAAAATAAGAAATAAAAATAAAATCAAGGACCCCTCCCAATTTGATTTTCCACTGGCTGCTCTGAAACAGTAAACACAACCTCACAAAGGAGTGTGTATGCCGGTATTTCTCACCCTCGGCCACTTTAAGACCTGTGGACTTCAACTCCCAGCCAGCCATGCCTGCTTCTTTTTCTCTTACCCCCTAAAGTGAAGAGAGCGCAGAGAAAGGGATTACAAGAGAATAAGCTACGGTGGCTGGGGAATTATGGGAGCTGAAGTCCACAGGCCTTCAAAGTGGCCACGGACACAGTATGGATAAAAACCAATGTTTTATACGTACCCAGCCAAGAAGGGCATTCGTCATTCGTTTTGCGTTCTTGCTGTGTGGGGGCCCCTTCCCACGGGAGGCACTGGGAAACCGAGGCGTTCCAGACACATCGGACGCCAGGGCCCGCCTTTAAGCAGGAGACCTTAGTGAGGTACGCTTCGCAGCTTTCGGGCGTGTATTTCACGAGGTCGCTCAAAAGCAGGCTGTTGAAGCCTCCGAAGAGGTACATGGTGCTAACAAAAAAAGGAAGAAGATGGAAGGGGTTAATCCAGGGCTCTGACGCTGGCAAGGAAGGCTGGGGTCAAGAGTGATTTTAGGGCCTATTGTGTAAGTCCCTTGGACCAGACCGATCAGAGTAGGCAAAGAGGTTATCTCGTGCTTATTAGTCTTCTCTCTTCTCTTACTTCTCTTCTCTTCTAAATTGTATTCTATTCTAAATTCTAAATTGTATTCTGTTCTATTCATACTTGTATTCTATTCTATACTCTAATCTCTATTCTGTTCTGCATTGTATTATTCTCTTCTATCATCTATCCTATCCTATCCTATCCTATCCTATCCTATTGTTCTGTTCTGTTCTGTTTTATTCTGTTCTATTCTGTTCTATTCTATTCTATTCCTTATTCTATTCTATTGCTTATTCTATTCTATTCCTTATTCTATTCTATTCTATTCCTTATTCTATTCTATTCTATTCCTTATTCTGTTCCTTATTCTATTCTATTCTATTCTATTCCTTATTCTATTCCTTATTCTATTCTATTTCTTATTCTATTCCTTATTCTATTCTAATCTAATCTATTCTATTCTATTCCTTATTCTATTCTATTCTATTCTATTCTATTCTATTCTATTCTATTCTATTCTATTCCTTATTCTATTCCTTATTCTATTCTATTCTATTCTATTCTATTCCTTATTCTATTCCTTATTCTATTCTATTCCTTATTCTATTCTATTCTATTCTATTCCTTATTCTATTCTATTCTATTCCTTATTCTATTCTATTCTATTCTATTCCTTATTCTATTCTATTCTATTCTAGTCTAGTCTAGTCTAGTCTCTATTCTATTCTATCTATTCTATTCTATTGTTTTCTATTCTCTATTCTCTATTCAGTTCTATTCTACATTCTATTAGTCTATCATTCTATTATATTCTATTCCTTATTCTATTCTATTCTATTCTATTCTATTCTATTCTATTCTATTCTATTCTACTCTATTCTAGTCTAGTCTTTCCTATTCCTATTCTATCCCTATTCTATTCTATCCCTATCCCTATTCTAATTCTATTGTACATTGCATTATTCTCTTCTATCTATCATCTATTCCATTCCATTCTATTTCTAATGCTAATGCTAATTCTATCTTGCATTATTACATCACCTTTGCGTCATGCTACATTACATAACTTTTCCCCCCATCATCTCACCACAAGGCGACTCCAGCTGGCTTCCAAACCTTATCGTATGAACGGTAACGAAGAGAGGCTTAGACAGGCTTATTCCCAAGCCATGGCTACCTCCAATCGAAGGGAACTCCCAAGCGAACGGAAAAGGCTTGGGTGAATAGCTCACGTCGCGTATTTTGAGGGCAGGTATTTTCTTATTCTTTTTTTTTTAACTTTTGAAATGCAGAATTACGACCGGAGTGCAGAAGGAACAGAAACCTTTTCATTGCAGAGCGTCCCGAGCAAGCGAAGGGGAGCCAAAAACTTTCTAACGGAACCTAAGTAGCGTTAAAACAGCTTTCGGCGGGATTTTATTTTATTTTATTTTTAAAGCAACGGGCGAAGCTGCGGATGAAGCGAGGGCTCGGCAGAATGTGGGAGATAAGAGTTCAGGAAAGGCAGCTCGGAACCGCAAGCCGGAACCGCCAATGGCTTTTGCCCAAGAGAAGATTTAAGAGGGGGTCTTTTGGGGGGGAGCGGTTAAGCCGGAGGCCCATTAGCCAGCGAATGGGCTGGAAAAACTGAGTAGGAATCTGGTCGTTCAAAGCCAGGGGGGACGGATGGAGGATCCTGTGAGCTAAATCATCAGGTTTCAAAACTTGTAAAAAGTTACGTTCCCACAATTAACCTCTGCAGCTCGTCAGCATGCGGAAATAAAGAGCTGGAGGGGGAGAGAGGAAGAATTGGACTCTGTTCAAGAGGCGATGCACGCTCTGTTCAGACGCAAGGATACGGTTGATGTAAAGGAGACGTGGAGGTTTTTTATGCTTCCCAACCCCCAGGCTACATCTGAAGGACGAGGGGGGACATGATAGCAGTGTTCCAGTATTTGAGGGGCTGCCCCAAAGAAGAGGGAGTCAAGCTGTTCTCCAAAGGACCTGAAGGCAGGACAAGAAGCAACGGATGGAAACTAATCAAGGAGAGAAGCAACCTAGAACTAAGGAGGCATTTCCTGACAGTGAGAACAATTAACCAGTGGAACAACCTGCCTCCAGAAGCGGTGAATGCTCCAACACTGGAGATTTTCAAGAAGAGACTGGACAACCATTTGTCTGAAATGGTATAGGATTTCCGGGTTGAGCAGGGGGTTGCACTAGATGACCTCCAAGGTCCCTTCCAGCTCTATTATTCTGTGTTCTCAGTTTTAAGAATCCCACCTCATGAATCAAAGTCTTGTCGCCATTAGCTCTTCAATCTGCAATCACCAGATCTGAAGGACCAGGGGTGACATGACAGCAATCTTCCAGTATCTCAGGGGCTCCCCCAAAGAAGAGGGAGTCAAGCCATTCTCCAAAGCGCCGGAAGGCAGGACAAGAAGCAACGGATGGAAACCAATCAAGAAGAGAAGCAACCTGGAGCTCAGGAGAAATTTCCTGACAGTGAGAACAATTAACCAGTGGAACAACCTGCCTCCAGAAGCGGTGAAGGCTCCAACACTGGAAGTTTTTAAGAAGAGACTGGACGGCCATTTGTCCAAAATGGTATAGTTCTCCTGCCTGAGCAGGGGGTTGGACTAGATGACCTCCAAGGTCCCTTCCAACTTTATTATTATTATGAAGAAACTGGATAGCCATTTGTCTGAAATGGTATAGGGTTTCCTGCCTGAGCAGGGAGTTGGACTAGATGATGTAAAACATATAAGGGACGGCTGCTGGAATTGGGGATGTCTAGTTTAATGAAGAGAAGGACGAGGGGGGACAGGATAGCAGTATTCCAGTATCTCTGGGCTGCCCCAAAGAAGAGGGAGTCAAGGTATTCTCCAAAGCGCCTGAAGAAGGCAGGACAAGAAGCAACGGATGGAAACTCATCAAGGAGAGAAACAACCTGGAACTAAGGAGAAATTTCCTGACAATGAGAACTATTAACCAGCGGAACGGCTTGCCACCAGAAGTTGTGGGTGCCCCATCACTGAAGGCTTTAAATAAGAGATTGGATGGCCGTCGTCTGGAATGGTCTAGGGTCCCCTGCTTGAGCAGGGGGTTGGACTAGAAGACCTCCAAGGTCCCTTCCAACTCTTGTTATTCTGTTAGCGACTGGCGCTTCAGCGGCTGTATAATGTCCCGGAAAAATATCTTAAAAACAAGATATGTTTCACTGAGATGTGGGAGTCCTAAAGTGGTTACCTCTCCAGGCATCACAGCAGCAGGAATAATCTATTGCGCAAAAACGGAATCAAATCCTTGGATTTCCATAATGGACAAAACTGGCTTCAAAAGCTGAGGGAGTTGGCAGAGACGGCTTAATTGACTGCTTTGATTTAAAAAGAAAGAAAGAAAGAAAAAAATAACACAATTAACTTCCTTTCTACTTGGAAAACTGCTTCTGGACTTTGTGCTTGAGCTGGAAAAAAAAAACTGATTTGGGGTTTGGCTGACTAAACAGGCTAGTTATTACAGAAAGGACTAGCGTGTATTATTACACAAAAGGGAAAAAAAGATGAGGTGGTGTATGTTATGACCTTATTCTCCTGCACCAAAAAAAAAGAGAGAATTCAAGGCTTTTCTTTTTCCGTTCCTTTTTACGCTACGCTTTTTCTCCTTCCGTTTCTCTCCGCAGTTTTGCATTTTATCTCTCGGTAAACGAATTAAAAACAAAAAAATAAGAACTAGAAAGGTTCTTCGGGAACCCACAACGCCGACGCCGCCCCCGTCTCCCTTTTCCCCCTACTACTACTACTACCACTTTCCACCCAAACGCAAGATACTCCGCCTCCTTACTTATTCCTCAGCACCGCCGAGTGTCCAAACCGGTTGATGTCGTGGGGGAGATCGGGGGGAGGAAGCACCGACCAACGATCGCAAGCTAGGATGAGACAAAAAAAAATAAAATAAAAATAAAAGCTTGTTTCAAAAGCATTCAAGTGGCACGCCGGGCGTAGTTAAAACGTTGCTTATTCCCACAGACATTTCAGTGAGAATTCAGAAAGCAGGGTCGTTATTCCAAAGGGCACGGAACTGTGGCGGGATTTGCACGGCGAATGTAAATAGCAATAAAGGAGAATATTTGTAGCTTGCAGGATTGACATGAGGAGTCCTTGGTAGTCTCTGAGCTTGCTTGTTTTCTTGCAGACGTTTCATTACCCAACTTCACTGTTGTAGTAAAGGTACAGTAATCGGTAACTTATCGGCAGGAGGAGGAGGACTGTGGGATCCTTGGTGCCCTCTGAGCTTGCCGATTTTCTTGCAGACGTTCCATGACCCAACTAAGGGATAACATCAGAAAGGAGTGGGGTTTGTTTCTAGCACTTCCTTCTTACACTGATGATGTTACCTAGTTGGGTCATGAAACGTCTGGAAGAAAACCACCAAGCTCAGAAAGCACCAAGGACCTCACAGACTACTACTACTACTACTACCACTACAACCACCTCCACCACCACCACCACCACCACCACCACTACTACTACTACTACTACTACTACTACTAATTCTTCTTCTTCTTCTTCTTCTTCTTCTTCTTCTTCTTCTTCTTCTTCTTCTTCTTCTTCTTCTTCTTCTTCTTTTCCTCGTTCTCCTTCCTCCTCCATATCCTTCACCTCCTCCTCCTCCTCTCTGCAAACCCCACTTCCTTCTAGCACTGATGCTGTTCCCTAGTTGGGTCATGAAACGTCTGCAAGAAAACCACCCAGCTCAGAGAGGACCCCACAGTCCTTTTCCTCGCCCCCTTCCTCCTCCTCCTCTTCTTCCTCCTCCTCCTCCTCTCCACAAACATCACCCCTTTCTAGCACTGATGATGTTACCTAGTTGGGTCATGAGACGTCTGCAAGAAAACCACCCAGCTCAGAGAGCACCAAGGACTCCACAGTCCTCCTCCTCCTCCTCCTCCTTCTCTCCGCAAACATCACCCCTTTCTAGCACCGATGATGTCACCTAGTTGGGTCATGAGACGTCTGCAACCAACTCAGAGAGCACCAAGGACCCCCACAGTCCTCCCCCTTTCCCTTCCCCTCCTCCTCCTCCTCCTCCCCCATCCTCCTCTCTGCAAACCCACCTTCCTTCTAGCGCTGATGGTGCTACCTAGTTGGGTCATGAAACGTCTGCAAGGAAACCACCCAGCTCGGAGAGCACCAAGGACCCCACAGTCCTTGTCCTCCTCCATCACCACCACCACCACCACCACCACCACCCCACTCCCTTCTAGAACTGATGCTGTTACCTAGTTGGGTCATGAAA